AGCTTTGGAGACATTGGGGGTAAAAACGTGAGATTTATGCAGCTGTGCTGTATCCCCTTTTAAAGTCTTCACTACCTGAAGAAATTCTGAGGGCATGGGAACGATCTCGCCAGCGTAGGGAAAGTGTTGCACACACTGAAAATTTATTGCATTTTCTCCGAATTGAAGTTGAAAGTGAAGAGCGTCTTCAGTTGGCCGGTACAAGTTTTTCTGCTCCAGACAAATATGACTCGGTTCCAGCCACAGCAGCTTGTATTTATGCAGAAGATTCAAAGAAGAAACAGCTTAATTTTTGTGTTTGGTGTGACAAGGAAACACATAACTCTTTTGAGTGCTTTAAGCTGCACAGCCTTTCATTGGAAGATGGGCATGCTGCCGAAAAGTGTAAAAGTTCTGTGAAATGCCTAGTTTGCAACAAATGTCATGTAACGGTGATGTGCAGAGAACTAAAAGGTTCTAGAAGTTCAAAAAAGGAAGCACCTAAAGCAGCTAATGAAACGAGTGAGACTTTATTGTCTAACTAAAAACTACAAACAACTCTTCTCCAAACTATTAAGGTGAAGATTGTCCATAATGGAAAAAAGGAGCTTGTAAGTACGCTATTTTAACAGTGGGTCACAAAGATCTTACTTATGGAAAGACATAATAAAGAAACTAGATTTAATCCCATTAGATCAAGAGACTTTGAGCCACAATTTGTTTGAGTGGAGTGGAAACTGAATCTCAGTTCCACGGTATTTTTGATATCGAAATACAAGGAACGGATAGTAAATTCAAATACGAGTTATCGGTTTTAGATAAAGACAAAATTTGTGGATACATGCCTAGAGTCAAACTCAAACATATATGTTCCTCACTTCGAGAACATAAAATCAAAATCAGTGATTCTGGTAGAGATACACCAGATATCGGATTGTTAATAAGAGCCGTCTATTCCGGACTGTTGATGACGAATAATATCATTCCAATTGACAAAAACCTTATTGCCACTGAAACGATCAAATTTTTCCTAGAGAATATTAAAGTAATCGAGGGCAATAGGTATGAAGTCTGTTTGCCTTGGAAGGATAGTCATCAGATTCTTGAAGATAATAAAGATAAAGCGGAAAAAAAGACTTTTTGCCAATACACGAAGACTGCAGAACATGGGATTTTTCGAAGAATATGATGGTATTATTAAAGACTGGCACGAAGAAGGTATAATTGAAATAGTTCCGAACAGTAGTGATACTGGTCACTATTTGTCTCATCAAGCAGTAATCAAGGATTCCAGTCTGACTACGAAAGTGCAACCTGTATTGGATGCATCATTGAAGGATGAAAATGGGAATTCCTTGAATGCTTGCCTCGAAAAGAGGCCGAATTAAATTGAACTTCTTCCAAAACTTTTGATACAATCGGTATTATGTAAATCAAGATTAGCTCCTGCCAAAGAAGTAACTATTCCTAGATTAGAGTTTCTTGGAGCACTTATAGCTACTCGGCTGTATCGTCAAGTCATTGACGCTTCTTAAATTGACAAAGTGCCAAGTGTACCTTTGGAGTGACTCGGTCTGTAAGATTCTGACATGGATCAGAAAAAGACTTCCCACTGGAGTGTTTTTGGTGGCACAAATCATGTAGCTGAAATAAGGGGATGCACAAATCCGGACGAACTGAGCATTATGTACCAAGCTCAAGCAATCCAGCTGATCTTCTCTCTAGAGGGTGCGATGCCAAAATGTTGCTACAGAGCAGATGGTGGAAGTGGCGCCGGATTGGGCTTAAAAAAGAGTCCGGATAAATGGCCTCTCTCTGAAGAATCAGAAGTAAAAACTGATGAACTGAGTAGAGAATATGTTGCAATTTCTTAAAATTGCAAGTTGGGAGGATGTTCAGGAACATGCACGAACTCAGTTAATACACAATAATTTTTAATATGTTCATTTTAGATGTAGATTTTTTGTGGCAACAGTGATGTTTTGCTATATATTACCTTTGAGCGTGATAACGCACAGGAATGTTATTCTTTTGGATATGTTTAAAATGCTAAATAAATAAGTTCATTGTTAATTAAAAAGGTTTTCTCTGCTAAATATATTACCATTCGTCCAAAGTTATTAAATAAGTCAAGAAATTGATTAATTTCAAACAGTATAAGCTAAGCTAAAATTATCTAATTCAGTTAATGTTGCAGATTGCGTTGTTCCTTAATCTTCGAATTGGATTCGGCTTATTATTTTTTGCAGACTGTTAGAGCAATTTTATAAAAGTAAGATTGAACTTTCGATTATGTCAAATAGAATTTCTTATATATTTACTAATATGTAAAGGATCTACAAAGCGAAAGTATGTTTCGAAGTCCATTAAACAAAAAGTGGAATTGCTGAAAAAAATGGATAAAGGCATATCGTTTGTTTATCTAAACTTTGTCTATCTTTTAATGCCGCACAATGAATTGGAAGTTGATCTGTCAGCACTATCCACATCTTCAGGGCAGATGTTATTTTGTTTGGCTTACAATTCCTTACTAAATGTAGTATTTCATCTCGATGTACTACATCTTTGATATGATTTAAATCAAATTCCTCATCATTATAATTCGCTTCCAATAGCGAAGAAAGTAACAGAGCTTATTGAAAACGAAAAAATTTCGATTGACAAATTAGTCGGTATTCTCGACACAGCAATTATAGGACTTGAACAGCGAAACTTTGTAACTGAATAAAAATTAGTCTGTTTATAGAATTAAAGAGAATGTATTATCAATAAAAAAAGAAGCAACTTAAACAACTTACATTGAAAGAAATGGTTTAATAAAGTAAACAAATAAATATTAAGTTTTTTTTTCGTAAACTTTGATACTCTTTAGATCATAATTGTTCTTTATTTCATAAATTATGGTTTCATTTTTTTAATTTATAATTTCTGCATGCCATCTTGCCAGATTTAAACTGATGATCTATAATCCGGAATCGAAGTCCCGACGAGTCCGGATTAACGACTTTTTACTGTATTTTTACTTTTACATCCGTTCTTTCACGAACTCTTGAACAGGCAACAAAAAGTTCATTGTGTCCAAATGCAGGCTCAGGTAAAAAAAAATGCCAAAACGCTTAAACGTTTGGCCCTGAGACTTATTGATGGTCATAGCAAAGGCAAGTTTTACAGGAAATTGTCTATGTCTCAAATGAAATGGCAACTTCACCCCATTGGCTAGTAGTTACGCAAGCAACCAATAAACTATTGGCGACAAACAGACACTAAAGCCGCACATAATAAAGATATTTATTTATTTCATTTTGTTTTTTCATCGTCGCCAGTTGCATATTTACGAATTCTATTACATATAGAATTTAATTTATTTTTTAAATGTTAAATGCACGTGCTCTTGTAATTTTAATTTTTCCGGCTTACATTTCTCATAATATTCGTCACACTCTGCACTGCATGGGAAATAAATGAATTTACACTTAGAACTGTAAGCAACCAATAAACTATCAGCGACAAACAGATGTTAAACTTATTTACTACATGTTAAATGCACATGCTGTTGCATTTTTAATTTTTTCGGCTAAGCTTTCTCATAATATTCGTCACACGCTGCAATGCACGTGGAATAAAACAATTTACAGTTACACAAGCAACCAATAAACTATCCGCAACAAACACTTAAGCCGCATATACTATATATAAGAAGTTGTTCAGTTCAGAATTGCTGAACAAATTTCTATATATCAAAATTTTTAATTAAAAATTAGGCTTTGAATGCAAGACAGAAGCTCAATTTAGGAAGCAGAGTATAGTAAAAATGTACATCATCCCTGAATGATTATGGGAGAAGTTTTTTATCTGCTCGTGATGTCACTTGACCAGTCAGCTGCTTGTGCCTTATTCTTCGAGATGGTGTAGAGTATGATGTAGTAAGGGTATAAACCTCCACACCATTTGGTTTTGTTGATTGACAAATGGTCATTTTAACTTTCACAAGTATGTGGAATATCTAGAGAAGGTGTTAAGAGGAAAAAGAACAAATGCTATTAACAAGATTTCCTAAACATTACAAACACTATTAGAAAGTTAAGAGTTGAAGAGTGCTTATACAGTCAAAAAGTCTTTAATCCGGACCTCAAAGCTACAAACTTTCTGCACATGCGTAAACATATAATGCGTTTATGCATGCATGTTTAATGTATAACAGACGGTATAAGCTAAGCTAAAATAATCTATTTCATTTAATGTTGCAGATTGCGTTGTTCCTTAATCTTCTAATTGAATCCGGTTTATTACTTTTTGCAGACTGTTAGAGCAATTTTATAAAAATAAGCTTGAACTTTCGATTATGTCAAAAAGAATTTCCGATTCTGGAGCTGCCAAAGGATCTACAAAGTGAAAGCATGTTTTGACGTCCAAACAAAAAGTGGAATTCTGCAAAAAAAAAATGGATAAAGGCATATCCTATGTTTCTCTAATCATTCCGAAATCTGTTTATCAATTTCACGCTGCTCTGCCGGGGGGAGGGAGTGTTGTGGCGCTCAATGAACATGTCAGCATTATAAATATCACGAACACACAAATAGTTTTCTGGTTGCAATTTTCTAATTTCGACTATGCGTAATGTATGCTTTACGCATACGCGAGTTAAAAGAAATGTTTGATAAAGTAAACAAATAAATATTAAGCTTTTTTTGGGGTAAATTTTGATACCCTTTAGATCATAATTGCTCTTTATTTTATAAATTGTGGTTTCTTATTTTCAATTTTATAATTTCTGCATGCCATCTTACCAGATTTAAACTGATGATCTATATTCCGGAATCACTGAAGTCCCCACGAGTCCGGATTAAAGACTTTTGACTGTATTTCACTTTTTACCCCTGATGTTATATAAAACTAATTAGTATGGGAAATGAATTAAATTATTTTGAAAAATTTAATTTACGATATAACTCAGATTATAAAGTGCTTGTTTTAATTTTAAAATATAATGCAATATAAATTAGATGAATAAAACAAGACAATAATGAGTGTGATTTTTTATTACATTAAAAAAAGCACGTTCACAGGCCTTCAATAGTTCCTGAAAGATAAAATGTAAAATTAGGGAACATGTAAATTATACAAAAATTATACAAAGTTCAAAACTTTACAGTAGATTGCCAATTAACTGGCCTTCTAAAACCACAGATTTATAAAGAGAAATTTGATAAATGACTTTTTTAATAAAAAAATAACTAATAAATCTTAAGCATGTACAGAAATGGCATGCTTAAGATTTATTAGTTATTTTTTTTTTTTATTAAAATTGTTATAACATAGCATAAGACAAATTTTAAGAGAAAGCTATGATAGAAAAGTAAGAATACAGGGGCACATGCATTTAAAATTGAATAAATGTAATTGAACTGTAATTCCACCCTCGCACTGCTTTCCAGTAATTTCGAGTGCAGTAAGTATTGTAAAACATAAAAGTACTAGAAATATCTTGTGGCTGGTTAAAACTATTTAAAGGTGAAGAGAGAGCATATGCTTTCAGTTGTTTAGTTAGCTGTTGTTATTGTTGTGAGTTCAGCGAGAAATAGTGTTAGCTTTCTCTTTAGATGCGCTTTGGGTACTTTTCCGTTTTGCCGGCGCAAATCTCACCAAGCAGACTTTATTGGCGACAACATATACTATACACATAACAAATGTTAGTTCCAAGAATTTTTAATTTTGAAAGCATAAACATTTTAATAGCATTTAAAATTTTGTAAAAAGCCTATAAATTTGTAAATAACATGAGTTTACGAATTTACAATGCTTTCATAATTGAACATCCTGATTCGCTGGTTCGTATCATGTGACCCCAAGTGATCTCATCTCCCGTAAACTTCGATACAAAAATCCAATTCTCTTGGTAATTATCTACATTGATTTCCAGATAAATCTTAATTTCAAATTGAAGTTTAAATGCAAGAATTACTTCAATCCGTACGAATAGCTCATGTAAAACTGCAGTGCTTTATTTCGCTAGTGCATTCTCATTAGAATTGATGATTTTAACCCTTGATTTTGCCTTTTCTATATTTTCGCCTCCGGGTGAGCGGTACGATGACATCTTAATTGACTTAATTACCGCGAGTGGCGTTAGGGCATAAAATTGAACTATCTGGTAAAAATTCTATGTAACCGTATGCCAGTATTGAAAGAAACAATCAATCTAATGAGAAATGGCTGCGACTTATTTTGAAAATGAGGTGTAAAAGGTTACCAGCGAGGATATTCCGTTTGGCATCTGCTATACCATTATTGGTCACTTTATCGCCTGCACCAGCAAAACAAAAGTACCGCACTTTGCACTGCACAGTATTTAACATTCTTAGCAATCTGAAGTGTAACTACTGGTTATACTGAGCAATAACTGTGAACATTTGTAAGACTATTTCTGTGGAACATTCCAGAGTTCTGAAATACTTCTTTTGATAAAAATAAATTTTTATTAACCTATTATCGGACTTATGAATTCAATCCATTACAACCCCATAAGCACGCAACAACATATATATATAATCCTCCAAAACATTACTATTATAACTGTAATAGGAGTTGTTTTTTTCCATTGAAAACTGATATTAGACACTGCTCAATTTGGAGTAAAAAAAATGTCTTTTTAGCAGATATTTTGCAGCTAAACCAAAGAAAGAAATCAGTTTAATGGTATTTTAAAATAAATATTCAGGTATTTTATATTTATTTAGCAGCACACATAAGCAGAAAACACGTGCATGAAATTTCGTGATAGTATGTCATCATACTCCTTGAATTAGTTTCAGGAGTATGCCAGAGAAAAACTGCCTGAAATTTGAAAGTACTTTTAACTAATAATAAATAAATTTAGAAGGAAGAAGCCATATTAAATGATAAGAATAACACTGCAATAAAAGTTGACTGCGTACTGCGTAAAGATTAAAAATCAAATTACAATAATCACGATGCTTTGGCAAATAGTTATATTAAATGATTAGCCTAGGTTACTGATTATTATTTTACTGCAAAATGGCAAACAAGGCATTTATTAAAAACGGAGAAAAAGGCTTAAAAGATTTTGTAAAATCCTAGTATATGGTACGGCCTTGGCACGATTCTGAAAATTGTCACCAATACCAATATGACCCATTTACTGCTCATTATAATGTCGCCAAATCCCATGTGTACAGCATACTAGGATTAAACAGATTTTGTTACATACAAGAATGGAAATGTATTTTCTTTCATTCAAAATGTGTTGCATATATGCATACGAGTCTCTCGATTCTTGGTTACTGGAAACTTGCTTTGCCTTTCTAAAAGACAATCTGATTGGAGCTGCGAAAATTAAATTGGCTCTACGCCAGCTGCCCAAATGACACTCACGAGTCCAACATTAACACAGAAGTCACTTTTTTGAGAATTGCCATATGAAATTTCGTGACTTTTTCAGATTGACAAAACTACTTAAATTCTCTTTTTCTTGTTTTCGAGGTTGTGTGGCAACCCTGTTATTATACCATTTCACAGAATCTTATTTTTTAAAAAATGGGTTGTCACAGGGTTGCCATAAACATTAGACATACTTTTTAAAGGTTATCATTAATAGGTTCAGTACAATTAACTTAGTTGTAACTACTGATTTAAAAAAAAGTTATTTATGTTATACTTCATTAAAAGTTTAGTTGTAACCCACCAGGGTCAAATATTCTAGTACCCAACTAACTGAAAATGACCCTATTTCTAAGCAGTGAAGAACATGCCATTCCACCAATGACTTCATACAATGAATTTTTTCTAAGACAACCACTTAACATTTCTAAATGGTTTGATCTTTAAAGGTGATTGCCAGACAGACACAGAGATACCCAAAATTTTATCTTGCTAAAGCATCACATACTTATCTCCAATTCTGATTCTTGCATTATTAGCTGGCAACTATTTTTAAGCCACTGTTTAACAATTCTATAAACATGTTAGACCTTCACTCCCTTTTAGTTATATGAAGCTTTTTATATTAATCTAAAAAGTAAATATATTTTTATTTTCTCAGGCTTCAAATAAACTGGCTTTTTATTTTTTAGAAGGCACAAGAAATTCCTGCTATACAGTAAACCCCTACTACATTCTAAAAAGTTCAGTATTTAACCATAATAATATAAATTTAATGCTCTTGCATCTAATTTGGCAAGCACTAAGGCTGATTTAAAACATTCTGATTTATAACAAGTCTATTTAAAGAATAATTAAATATTTTTATTACTAAAAGAGAACTTCAATGATAAATTAAAATCATAGAGATAATATTACTAAGCTACAAAATTTTTAAAACTTCTATAAACATTAAAATTACACTATTATTACAATTCAACAACCCGAACTAAGAATAAAACAAAATTGAAAGTCTGGAGGTTTAGTGTTGTTCTTGTGTCTATGATGAAACCTGTTTAAACAGTGCCATGGGCAAAGATGCTAGCTCTGGCAATCTGCAAAATGTTATCTCATGGAGGTTTGGTCTCTTAACACATTAGTGGCTGGTGTTGCGTTGACGCAACAGTCAAAATAAATGCCTTTATAAATATAACTACCTAAGATATTTTGTAGCAGCAGATGATTTTGTGCAGGGAATATTACAAAGATTATTTCTGTAAAAAAATATTTGCCTTCAACAATCATTTTGTTTATAATAATTAATCTCGTACTTTAACCAAAATTTAACGAACATTTTCCACAGGGTATTTTTGCCGAAGAAAATATTTAACGAAAGAATCGCTGTCTTTATAAGTGATATATTTTTAGTCAAGGTCACCTTTTAAAAGAACATTACATCAATCAGATGTTTATATTTGTGTTGGGAAGGAAAGGAAAACAGGTATTGCGCTGACACAAAGTCAGCAAGAAACGGGTAAGCTCCTTTTTTACTCATTCCTTTCGACGTTCTGGTTCATGTTCTGGCTGCTTTAAAAATGCCTATAACGAGGTATCTTACATTAGAAGAAGCCCTTCAAAGAGTTTTTTGATGAAGAAACAGATGATAATGTTAATAATGACCAGAATGAAACTGATATTGTTTGTTGTTCCCCAGAATTGCAGAGCTACGATGAAGAAGGGAATGACATGTTTTTAAATAATGAATTTTAACCAAATGATATTGCTGGGGAAGTTGAAATTCACGTAAGAATAAGTTTCAGCCTTCTAAAAGCAGTGGGTAGTCATAAGAAAATCTTTAAAAGCAGAAAACTGAAAATTGAAATGGATAAAAAGGAACCATCAGTTTATGTCTCAGGAAGAAATAAAGAAAGAGATAGAAGAGAAACTATAAAAGACAAAATACAAGGTAAAACTACTGGAGAGATTTTCGATTTTCTTTTTGGTATAGACTTCTCGTTGAACAGACAAACATATATGCTCAGCAAAAAAAAAAAAAAATTTCCCAGAATTTCTTGCATCTGAAGCCTATATGGAAAGATTTATTGGAATATTATTGCTTACGGGACATCATTCTTTACCTCAAGAAGAAATGTATTGGTACTTGATAAGGATATTTCTGTTCCTATTGTACGAGAATCGATATCACATTTGCAGTACAGGAATATGAAGCAGAATTTGCATTTAGCTGACAATAGTCAAATTGACAATACTGATAAATTATATAATGTGAGACCATATTTAAACTTACTAAATATCACGACTTTCTACTACTGGAAATAAAAAGTGTCTTTTAGATTTCATACGAGAAATTGCATTATTCCTTTTTTAGCCAGAAATAGATAAGCAACAGGAAAACCTAGTAAATTCAGCATTCGAAAATCATTGCATGGAGATGGTAGACATTTTATTGTAAAGTCTGATGATAACAAAAGACTGTTGTAAAGAGTGCCATAGCCAGACTATTTATAATGCAAAGTCTGTAATGTAGCTTTACATGATGATTATAATGAAGCTTTTCATGCTTGAAACGTTCAATTGAAATAATCTGTATTTGCAAAAGAAATATAATGTATATTTTAATATTAAATTAATTACAAGTAAAGTGATTTATAGATTTATAAAACTTTATACAGCTAAAAAGTTATCCAGTGCTCCTCTCAAAGGAAACATCGTACCAGTGCAATCCTACTCACTAAACATCCGTAGTTTTATTCCGCCGACGCTACATGAATGCAACACTCACTTTTCCCACAGGTTAAGAGCATTTTTTAAAAATTTTTAATGCAAATTTATGTTATAAATGCTTAATTTAATATTTTCATGAGAAAAGAATCATTCCTTGTAATTTTGGTGGCTAATGGGTTAAAGAAGACCCCAATTTTTAACAATTCAGCAAAGCTAGCTGGATAATAAAATATGTGTGCAGTTGTCAAGTCTGTGTCCGAGCAGTTATAACAGTTTCTGTAGACTTTCCTTACCATCTCTGCAATTTTCCATACTCTATGATAGCCAGTTATAAGCTTCACTATGATTTAGTTAGTCATATCCATAGATGTTATGGACATGAAGCTTTATTGGAAATGAATGTGCCTTCAATCCGTATTCGGCCATGGCATTTGCATTTGATTAGGGCGACATTTATGTTATTATTATAGTTGGGATTTCAAACCCCTTTTGCCACTTTAATCTCGTTACCTGTAATTTGACATGCACTGGCAATCATTGAAGAATGATGACCTTAACTAACTTTATAATTTCTAGGTGAAAGAGAAACCGTGATGATTAAAAAGCTTCTATCTACGACTGCCTGTAACATACTCCATTGGTCTAATTCGAGAGATGTATGTTGTTTTAATTATCCCATGATAAGCACCCAATTTATTCCACAAAGACTATTAATAATTATTAATCTTTGCAAAGCTCTGTCTTGACATCCTCTTAGTGAATCTCAATTCTATATCTAAGATGATTCCCAAGTATTTTAGGCATTATGAATTTGTCTTCAATGTATCATTTTGAATTCATCAGATTTCTATGCTTCCTAACTGTTGTAAAAACACAGACAGTACTCTTTTTTCAGCATTGATCAGGAGTCTCAAGCTCTGTGCCCACCTTACGATCCCCATTTTGAGATTTCTGGGAAAATGCTTCAGATTCATGAATATCATTGCTAGAGATCACACTATCATCTGCATGGCAGGCCACTTTAGTATGATTGTCAAGTTTAGTGCCGCTAAATAAATGTAATACAACCACCGTGAAAAAAATTTAACAGACTTCAAACTTTTGCATTTATTATCTAGTTCACCCCCTTCTCTTACATAAAAACCTCTCAATCCTCAACAGAAACAGTTTTTTCAAAGCTCACAGCTTGGAAAAAATGCATACATCATAAACATACCAAATCTTCACATCCTGGGTTAACTAAATATATCTCAAAATTTCTGAACTTTTTCCAGACATACATTTGTGGGGTGGGGGAACAGAACTTTACACTCCTTCTAAGAACTGATTATAATTACATAGATACACCTTTAATTCTTAAACTAATATGTAGTTAGCTTTTAAAATGCTTTAAGGAAAATAATCACTATTTTAATTCATTTCAAGAACTTTACAAAAAAATACAACTTTTTAGCTCATTTAACCATGGAAATGCTCCATGTATTTTAAGAGGATTACCCCTCTGAAGAAATGATAAGCAAATGTTACAGATTAATTTAAAATACCCTGACTTAAGTCTTCTGTTGAAATGACAAACAATACCCAGATTAATATCTCAAAGCTAACATCAATGCAAGGCTAAACTTCACCTAATTTTAGTCTTCAAGACTTAGAATGCTTCTCTACATGTAATATACTAAGAAATAATCCAAGTATACTTACTTAGCTATAATACCATCTTTTTTTGCTAACCTTGTTATGCAATCATCACTTTCTCCCTATAGGAAAAAATGCAATTTACAATTACATTTTACAATAATATACATACAAATTTTCTCTTTGCCCCCCCAAAAAATATAGTTTAAAATTACCATTCGTCTTATTTCACCACAGATGGCATAAGCTTTCGAACTACCAGTAAATCTTCCCGTTGCTTCATCAACCTAAAAAATAAAATTTTCTTATACAAAAAGCACACTTTATATCAATTAAAAAATATCAAATAAATAACTTAAAAACAAGAATCAGATTAATTATGCAATAGAAGGCAGATTATCTGAGTACAGCCATAGAAGCACTTGTTACAAATCCTGTTTCCCTGCAGTTATTCAATTCACGATTACATTTTTCTGTTAACCTACATGAAAACTATTTTTGCACTTACACAAGAAAAAAGTCCTTTTAACCTTACTAAGCGAAATTATGTGCAGAAAAGAATCCAGAATTTTTAACTGGATAAAAATTGAATAGCCTGGAATACATTTCGAAGATGTAATTCTGTTGTGAAAATACATGCATATTTTACTTATTTTTAAATTTTAATCTTTAACTATGTGATATATATTGCATTTTTGTGATCATCAATGCATTTATATAAAGAACATGTTATCAAACATATACAACCATTATTACAGATTATTGTTCAATTTAATGGTAAGAATTAAAAAAAGATGTATAAAAGTTAATAATGCTGAAGTTATATATACCATAATCTAAAAATACTAAGATGAAAAAAAGATTTACTTAATCATATCAATAACTAGTAATTTACAATTTGCTCTATGTGTATGGCTTACCTTCTCAATGCAAAGGCTATACTTTGGCATATGCCATTTTTGCCCAGCAGAGCTTTTTTTCTCGATACTGGGCCAAAGAGGGAATTTCTGGAAAGCGCCTTTTGGTGCTATTTTCCTCCTGAGGATTTGGCAACTTTTGGGGATTCAAGATGGCGGAAAAACTGGGCCAAATGCCACTTATCTGAGATTTCCACCAGGATATGATGTGAAACATTAACTACAGTAATGCACATAACCATAACAGAGCAGTACACATGCAAAGCTACATTGCACAGATGATATTGGCAAAAGAGTAAAAAGTAAAAAAGAAAAAGTTTGGTCTTTGGGGGGGGGGCTGTTCAGAAGACCACCTTCTTCCTTTTCTTTATCCATAACTACTGTGAACAATCATGTCACAAACATGAATCAAACTGGATGATTGGCTTTTTTAAAATTTACTATTGTTAAAAAAGTTACAAGAACTTTCTGGAACAAAAAAGTTATGCTTTATTATTTATTATAAACTATTTAGCTTACTTATGGTGGCTATCACTATGCTAAAAGTTGTCCTTGATTTTAATACTGCTTCTTGTTAAAGTATCAAACTAAAATACTGCACATACACTACTTGTGGATGGAAGTACAATGTTAATTTAATACTGAAATGATTTTTCACATGCATTTTCATTTAACGAACAAACTGAAAATCTTAGAATTTTGCTAACAAATGCTAACTGAAACAATTTCGGCTAGACAGGAGATTACAGTCCAGTCGCCATGTGAAGCGAAATTAAGCCAAATCTGGTAACCTCTTGGCTTAAATCAACGCTTTCTGATCCTTTATTGCTCATTTATTGCTTATTACAATTTCTTAAATTTCGTAATAAAACACTTTTCTATTTGCTACTGTCTTAAAAATGGTATATATGATATGAAAACTTTGGTTAGAGTTGACTTTAGGGTACCCTTTGTATTATCGCGAAATTGTTGTCTCATTTATGACAACCTGAGTAGTTGAATGCTATGAAAACTTTATTATTATGATGTAATTGGTTGTGGTGAATTTGAATCATGGGAAAAAAATTTGGAAAGTGTGTGTCGGATTTTGGGTAAGGGCTAGTGTGTGATGGATTAATACTTTATTTTGTAGTTTACATGGTAAATTGGTTGAATGTGGTAAGACTAATTTGAAGTTTTTGTAGGATTTGGAACAAAAGGGAAAAAAGCATTAATTGACTGGTGTGTAAATGCAGGTTTACTTAGTAGCCATTATTAAGTGTCCTGTTTGGAGGAAGGAAAAGCGTATGATCGAACTTCGGATGTTTTTTACTCTTATTTTTGTAAATTTATGTGGCTACACCAATATACAGATTCTAGTTCAGATAATTTTAGGAAGTGTTTGGATGCTGTTAAGGAATGTGTTCGAGTGAAGACGCGTAAATTGGTAAATAAGTAGATATTTCCTTTGTGTAGCGCCAAGATGAATTTCCTTTCTTATGTTATTTCATTGTTTGATTTAAAATGTACTTTATTCTGATTACCGTATTTGACGGCATATAAGACACACTTTTTTTCCTAAATATGGTCTCAAAAAAGTTACCTGTGTCTTATACATGTTATATACACATGTCTTATACACAGGTTAAGTTTCAATACTAAATGCTTTTTTTAGCCCGGATAAAGGTCTAGATACGCATAACTTTTTCTACATCTGCCATAATTATTTTGCACATATGTGAAATATCTGACGCCAAAAAGCGCCAAAGCTCGAAGCTGATGTCGAAATTTGAACAGGTTCGACGGTCACATTACGTCTATGGAGCCTTTCCTTCTTTACAGACTTTATTTGACTCAGCCGACACACGTGTCGGTATCGGTGCTACTCTCTATAAACACGTCAGCATCGGTGCTTAAAACTGTTTGTTTTAAAAAAATACCCAGCAAAATATGACTACAAGGAAACAAAAGATTAAGCTATACAATTCAGTATAAACTAGGAGTGTTAAACTACGCCAAAGTGCATAAAAACAGAGCAGCAGCAAGGGATTTCAGGCCACCACCTACTGGAAAAAAAAAAAAAAAAAAAAAAAAAGCTTGCTGTGTTAATTTTCCTTAATAAAAATGGCTAATCTTTGGAATATGGTAACAGGTAGTTTGGTGACATTTTGGGAAGGCGATAAAGGTTACTAGCTAGGGCTTTAGCAGTGTACATGGATAAAGTCAAGAGTGTGCGCAATGCCATTTTAGTGCAATTCTGGGATGTTTTTTAAGTGAAAATAGGTCGACGGCACAGGATATCGTGTAGGTGCAATCTTAAAACACGGCAAGCATGGGGCGATTCTGCACTTTCTCCCAATTTTCGCACCTAATCTTTGTCATGATTAAGCATTTTGTTCCATAAAAGTTCTAGCATAAGCGTATCGGCTAGCAGATTGTTGAAAAAAAATGTTTGAGATAAAAAAAAAACCATGCCTTTACTTTGTGAAACAAATGGCGTCAAACAAAACTAGATTGTTGTAGCAGGGTTGGTCGCTGAATTTTCGCCAAAAAATCGCCAAGTTACCATAATCCAAAGATTAACCATAAAAATATGTTTAGTAACTGCATTCAACGATGGTTTATTTGGCTTTTACGAAACGTGAGAACTAAAAGAAACCATGTTTTAAGTTATTGTAGAACCGCGCGAAAGCGCGGAGTATTGAAACTTTTCCCCCCTTGTGTGTGGCCTTCTAAATAAGGGTGCGTCTTATATGCCGTCAAATACGGTATATATACATATTTTTTGTTTGTAATATTCATGAAAATAGCAAAAAACGTGGGGAAAGTGCAGAATCACCCACTGTTTGGCGCATTTTTAAGAATTGCACATACTCGGTATCCATGTACACATCGACCTATTTTCACTTAAAAAAACATCCCAGAATCGATGTGTACATGGATACCGAGTATGTGCAATTCTTTAAAATGTACCAAGCAGTGGGTGATTCTGCACTTCTCCCCTTTTTCGTTGTTTTACTTGAAGTCTTGTTTTAGATATTTTTGCATGTTTACATGACCTATTTTTTGCATGCTTATATAATTAATTTAAATTCACAATCATCTAATATAGTGATATGATGAGTTAGCGATTTTCTAAAATGCGCAAAAACAACCGATTTGGCGAGTTGGCATTTTTTTGTGAAAATGCGCCAAACTGGACCGTAATATCCAGTTTTACCACAATTTCTATTATTGCTTTCTTAAATAGCTGATAATTTCTGTACAATATATTTGATGCAATTCGTGGCTGATCTTTGGAATATGGTAACTGGTAGTTTGGTGACATTTTGGAGGCAATAAAGGTTACTACCTAGGACTTTAGTAATAATGTGAGACGTACTCAGTTCCGATTACGCATTATTTTGTGTTGAAATGAAGATATGAACTGTCATGTACTTAATGGACGAATTGCAGTTCTTTAATCGAAAGAGGGGAAATCTGGAAAAATGTGGAATTTTGTATTTAGCTTATTCTGTGTCGTGGGAAACAGTGTTGGTTAATTTTTTGGATCCCAGGCCTAACTAAGTGATTCGAAATGGGTATTTAGTGGGATTGAAAAGGGTAGTACTAAGTGTTTTTTTAGGTTGTTCAAGATAATAAAGATGTTTTTATTAAGTTCTTTATTATACCTGCACCTTGCTGTGAACTATAAGTATGATTTAAAGATCCTGAAACAGGCGCACATACGCTTGCTTTTTATTTTAGCGGAGGAAATAAGAAAAGTTTATCGGCCACGTAATCAAGATTCTGAAGAGCTTAGGTAAGTTAGTATTTTTTAATTATTTGAGGATATTATTTTTATGCATTGTTCTAAATGTAAGGATAAATAAAGTAATATGGTATTATTGGAAATTGTTATTAGGCATGTTTAGTTTAAAGTAATTAGGATTGTAAGCTAATTTTTATTATTTAATGTATGTGCTTATTTAATTTTTAAGTAGTGTTTTGAATTTAAATTATATCTTAATTAAATGATAGTTATTTTGTGATTATATGTTTATAGAATTTGGTACTTAATTGAAGTAAACGTGCATG